ACACGTATACACACACACACACACACACACACACACACTATATGCACCAAAAAGAAAGAAAGTTAGTTCTGGTTTAAAGGGCTGAGGATACAGATTAGGTTATCTGAGACCTGTCCTCCAAAAACAACAAAAAGTTTATCTGGAAGTGATAGTGCATACCTGTGATCACAGGACTCCGTAGGGTGAGGCAGGAGGTTTGCCATAAATCCAAGACCAGTCAGGAGGACTGTGAGTTCCTGGTCATTCTGAACTACAGAGTGAGACCCTGTTGAAGGACAGGAGGGGAGGGAAGAAGGGGGGCAGAGGAGAGGAACCCAGATTTCTAGTTAGCTGGGTGTTGGGTGTAGGCCTCTATCCTAGACTCAGCTGCCTTAGGTAGAATGGTAAGATATTGAGTTTGAGACCAGCTTGGATTACACTGTAAGATTCTGTGTCAGAGAGAGAGCACCTGCCTAGCACATAGCACACATGGAGCCTTGATTTCAATGCCCAGCACCTAAACCAATGAATGAGTAAACGCATCCGGCTTGGTCACAGTAAGACAGAGGCTAATAAGGCCTGGACTCCAATAGGGGACAGCTGACTTGTCCTGTAAACTGTCAGTAACAGCTGACGGTTACTTTTCCTATAAATTAGGCTCTTTTTGTATGAAGGGCTATGTGCATTTTCATGTTTATGTGGGTGCATGTGTGTGCACTCTTGTGGAAGGCAGAGTTCCTCAGGAGCCAGCCATCTTGTTTTTTGAGGAGTCTCTCACTGTGACCTGTGGTTCACAGTAATGGGGTGCTGGATATTATGTTGCCAGTTTCTCTCTGCTAGCACTGAGATGACATGTGTTTGCCTTGTGCCTGGTTTTGTTTTGTTTTTCATGTGGGCTTGGGGGATTGAACTCAGCTCCTCATGCTTGGGTGGCAAGCTATACCAAGGGAGCTCTCTTCCAGTCTTGTTTTTCTACATGTATGTATTCTGAGTGTGTGCAGTGTGACTGTGTACGTGTGCTGTAACACACATGAGGAGGTGGGGGACAACTTGCAGGAACTGGTCCTCTCCTTCCCCCTGTGGTTTCAGGGGTCCAACTCCAATCTTCAGATTGGCAGACAGCGCCATCACCCACTGAGCCAGCCGGCTCACGGCTCCTCCCCCTGCCCACCTTTTCTTCTGAGATTCACTCTTGTGGGATATTTGTACACTGTATGAAGATATGTTGCTGTGCTTGGTTTCATAGAGCTGAATGGCCAATAGCTAGGCAAAAGGTATAGGTAGGATTGCCAGGAAGAGAAAGGAAGAGGAGGAATCCTGGGGCAGGAGAAGCCAGGAACACAGAGAGGAAACAGGAGGCTCAAGATGGAAGAGAGGGGGGCTGGAGAGATGGCTCAGAGGTTAAGAGCACCGACTGCTCTTCCAGATGTCCTGAGTTCAATTCCCAGCAACCACATGGTGGCTCACAACCATCTGTAATGAGATCTGGCGCCCTCTTCTATATACATAATAAATAAATAAATCTTTAAAAAAAAAAAAAAAGATGGAAGAGAGGCAGCCCCATGTGATAGAACGTAATTTAAGTTATAAGAGCTAATCAGGAACAAGCCCAAGCTATAGGCCAGGCTTTCATAAATAAGAAGTCTCCATGTTGCTATTTGTGAGCTGGCAGCCCAAAGGAAAGTCTGAGTACACACTCTGTAGCCCAGGCTGGGTTTGAATCATGACAATATTCCTGCTTCAGTCTCCAGAGTACTGAAACTGAAACTGCAGACTGGAGCCTGTTCAGTCTTATAATACGATTCCCCTCAAGAATCGCACAGTGCTGCTGCTCCCCCACTGTCCCCCCACTGCACCCCACTGCTCCCCCAGCTCAGCAGGCTGCACAAACCACAGCAATTTGACTCTAATGTCGCCGGGACATTGTTGTAGGCTGGGTAGGGACATAATAATAACATATAAGAGTTCTGGAAAATATCCCTAGATTTGATAAGAAAGAATATATTTTCATATGTAATTTTTTCAGTTTACTTAAGACAATGTTCTTGACAGTCTTCCAATTTAACTTCTGAATTTAAATGTTAGAAATGAAACAGGTTGGAGCTGGAAACCGAGTTGCATTATCTTCAGCACAGCCACTGAGAACATTGGATTACAGACTAGGATCCAGCAGCAAAGCTCAAGCCGCAGAGACCTCTGCCTCCCAAGCCCAGTGGGAACCTCAGAACCCTGTAAAGTCACATGAGATACCAGGTGTGGCGGGGAACATCTGAAATGTCAGCACTCAGAAACCTGGGGCAGGAGGATCACTGTTAAGTTTGAGGCTAGCCTTAGCTACATAGGGGGTTCTAGGTTAGTCTCAATTACAGACTGAGACCCTATCTCAGGAAAAAAAAAAAAAATCCATAAAGTTTTCTGAATTGGTCAAAAAGTATTTAGATTTTCCTAGCTGGGTGTGGAAGCCCACACTTTAACTCCAGCCCCCCCCCCCACAGTAGGAACACGGCATGAGTTTGGGTCAGTTTTTGTCATGCTAACAAGGAGGCAGAGACAGGAAGATTCTCAGGGCTTTCCCAAAGAGTCAGTCTAGCTGAATTGGTAAACTTTAGGTTCAATGGGAGACTCTGCCTCAAGAAAACACCATGGCACACGCCTTTAGTCTCAGCACTCGGGAGGCAGAGGCAGGCGGATCTCTGCGAGTTCCAGGCCAGCCTGGGCTACAGAGCGAGTTCTCTTGAACAAAAACAGCTCCATATTTACAATGTTTGCAATGAGATCCTCAAAACAAATATAAAATAATGAATTCCTAAATATGTATAATTCAACGTAAGTCTTCTGTTCCCTTAATTTCTGGTTATGGGACCGCCAGATGGCTCAGCAGGGAAAGGCACTTGCCTAAGAGACGATGACCACGAGTTCAATTCCCAAGAACCCACATGGTCGAAAGAGAAATTCCCACAAGCTGTCCTCTGGCCTTCACACAATGTGTGCATGAGTGAGCACACACACACACACACACACACACACACACACACACACACACACTTGGGGCGGTGGCATTTAAAAAAGTAAATTCTTAAGTCTGTGTCACACAACAGGTTTGCAGCGCTAATGTTTTCAAGATTCTCTTGAAAGCCTCTCATGAGCTAGCTATAATTAGACCTCGAAGGCCCAGGAAGAGCTGACACTGGGGACATGGGAGTGTTCCAGAACATACGACCCACAGTACTAACAGGAAGAGTTACCTCGGAAGATAAAATAGAGCCAGCTGTGGTGGTCGAGGCAGCAGGATCAAGAGTTCAAGGTCAGCCTGAGCCACATCTGGAGTCTCTACCTCCCCTAAACAGTGAAATTTATGCTGTTGGGAGAACGCATTCTTTGAGGGTCTTCTCAACTCAAAGAATGGTCTCAAGGGGAGGAGAGGATAACAGAATTACAAAACCTAAGAAAAGCATATGTTTCAAGATGACTGAACAGCCCGGCTGTAACAAGCAGTCGGTAGCAAGCACGAGGCCCTGGATTCGGATTCCCACCACCGGGGACAAGGAGGTGTGATCAGGAACTCAAGGTCATCCTGAGCTAGAGTTGGAGGCCAGCCTGGGCTAAGACTGTCACAAAAAAAAAGCAAACAGAAATCTTTTAGCCAGCGGCTGGCCTCCCTCTATTAGAAGTCTTTCTCACATGACTTGGGGTTTGCTAACCGGGCTGGTGGGGTACAGAAGGACCGCGGGGTCCCGGGAGGGTGAGGGCTTCGGGGGAGGTAGCTTCAAGTGTGGAAAGTCGAGAAGGAGCCTCGCAGTAGGGCAGGTCTCGGGCTTCACTGGGGGACGACTCCAGGGGCCCTGAGGGGTCGACCCCGAGCCCCCCCCCGTCTGTAGTAAGATGGAGCAGGCTAGGCAGAGGGAGCCGGGGCACAGGGAGGCGCCGCGCCCGCCACGGAAAAGCCGCCGCGCGGCCCGGCAGTTCGCAGGAAGTGCTTTCGGGGTGGGGAGGGAGACCGAGGGCGGAGGCGGGCATGTGCAAGCCGGGCCCTCGGCGGCCGGCGGAGTTCGGACCGGAGCTCGGCAGGGGCGGGGCGACACTGGGGTGAAGGGGTGAGGCCGCGGACGGGCCGGAGCGGCCGCCTCCCCCGAGGGGAGCGCGCGGGCTGCGGGGGAGGCTTGGAGG